TATCCGTTTTAAACAGATCCAACTTTTTTGCAACATTCTAATAAATTCGTCACAGCATCTAAAAAAGCCAGGGACAAGTCCATTATTATGGTAGATAGGATTTTGTAATTGCAAACAATTACTTGTAAAAATAAAAAACAAGAATATAGAAACAAAAATTTTTAATTGTAAACGTTTATAATTATTATGTATATGTAAATATACAAATAAAATTATGTACAAATGAGAATTATTATAACCACAGAAATGCTTTAGTTAATCACAATTCACTATATGACACAAAATTGAGCATTATGATCAAAGTTATCTACTTTCGACATATTTTTACAAATTCGTAGTAAGTACTTATAATTAAAATTTACAAGCTTAATAGTTCGTGATTAAAAAATTATAAATATGGCTAAAGTCTAGAGAACGTTCCGAATGAAAGTCGCTACAAATAAAGGAAATTTTTTATTTGGCCGTTTCCATGTCCTTATAATAAATCACGAAAGAACATGCGACATAATATTAATTTAATTAAACATTAAAATAAAATCATAAAATAACGAGAAAAATTTATTTCACTATAAATACTAAAGTTAGAAACTGAATAATAAAGTAGATTCTGCTGTAGATATTTTAATATATATATTTTTACTTTGTTATTATCTATATGAAAATAAGCCACAATGCTTCACGAAATTATTCAGTGTTCAGTGTAACCTTTCAATCACCTGAATGCTGCCACCAAAATAAATTTAAGATTTACAAATTCACATTTTATGAATTAAATTGCCAATAATGATAGCTTAATATCTGCAATGTAAATTTGAAAAAAATGTATATTTAATGATTGCAGCTCTGCTACTTATAAAATTGATATCTACTGGACATTTGTTGTAATCTGCCAGTGTTTTAAAGGTTCTGACACTATTGCCAAATTTATCCGCTAATCTATCAAAAGACAAATACATTTTTTTATTACTAAGTGCAATTATTATGGAAAGAAACCAATATTCATTGATTCGTGTTTTATATAAATTAAAAAAAAAAGACCAGATTCCACAACAAAATATAATAAAAATGTACTGTTTCTAACCTTTCTCTCTGTATATTTGAGGCTTAATACTGCAAAGGCAAGTTTGTGTTTAGTGAAGTTTTTTGTAGCTAACTTCATTCGAAACGTTCTCCAGACTTTAGTCATAAATATTATACGCTGTTGTGATATTATAGAGTGTCACAAATGTCCAACGCAACATTATTCCATTAGTAGCGATAAAAACAACAACAGTGTGTGAAAACGGTTAGATTGGAAGTGGAAATAAAAAAATCAACTAATATGAGAAAAAGCTCCATCGGCCAAACTGAAATTGCAAATAACACTTTGATATTTAGCTACTGGAGGCTCTTCTAAACTATTTATAGTAGATAGGGTAAAACGCCAGTTATTGGACACGAGACAGTCATTGGACATTACAGTGTTAACTTACGATTATAAGATTTCTGCAAGTGCTAACAAGAGTATATTTCACTAGGTGGCACTACTGGTTTCTATATATTATGTACATTATTATGCCTATGTTCTGCCTTTAACAGATTCTGTGATTTTGACGGTAAATATTTTTAGGTTATGTGAGCGAAGTGACATTTAAGCATTGTGTTAAGCATCTGCTCTGACTTTTTTTTTCAAAACTACGTGTTAATTTTTAAGGTTGTATTTTTATTTAAAAGGGTGTAGTAAAGGCACTTGTGGTCCATAAGATAGATCGCGTACAGTAATATGGATTTTAATTCGGATTTAATTAGGCCTGTCCAATAACTAAACTAGAAAACTTGCTAAATTCTATTATGGGACACCTGTCCAATCACTAGATAACTATACTTACCACATATTTCTACAATTTTTAACGGGCTTACGTATAACTAACTGGAGATAGCAGTAAAATTAATTTAGTAATCGATTTGACAGTTATTGGACAGCTGTCCCATAACTAAATTTGACTGTCCAATCACTAAATTGAGTTTTTAGGATTGTAGTAAAATGCCTAAACTTAGAAAATACGATAAGAATAAACTTATAGAAGCTGTTAAGGATGTCCAAAATGGCACTGAATCGTATAGAACAGCTGAAAAAAAATATGGAATTCCGAAGTCCACTATAGAATTTAAATTAAAACATCCGGAACATAAAGATACACTTGGACCTTCTCCTATTTTAACTTGCGAGGAGGAGAATACTCTGGTTAGGTACGTTCATTAAATTTATCTTAATGCATAGCATTATTTGATTTTGCATTCAATATTCCAGATGGATACAAGAAACCGCTTCAAAAGGTTTCGCCAAAAAGGCTAACGATTTAAAAAGCAGCGTGCAAAAATTGTTAACCGAAAATCCGCGCCCGAATAACTTTAAAGATAATCGACCTGGAGATGGATGGTTAAAAGCAAGTCACCAAAAAAATGTATTTTAATCTGTGTTTATCGTTTGATTTTTTTAGGGATTTTTGAAGCGACATCCAGAGGTTTCTAAAAGGACAAGTGAAGGTGTGACGGCAGCTAGCGCTTGTGTATCTGAACGAGACATCAAAAACTGGTTTAAAAATATTGAAAACTATGTTAAAGAAAAACATCTAGAGGAAGTTCTAACTGATCCATCAAGAATTTTTAATGGAGATGAGTCAGGATTTCAAATATGTCCAACTACTGGAAAAGTATTTGCTATGAAAGGTTCAAAAAATGTTTATAATGTTGAAAAAAGCTCTTCAAATGAAAACGTCACTGTGATGACGGTAAAATTTGCGTGCCTATGGTTATTTATCCTTATTAACGTATTCCAGAAAAAGTTGCTAAAGGCATTAATCCTAAATGGGGTGTGGGCAGAAGCGATAATGGTTGGATGACAGCAGAGACATTCTATCAGTATATTGCGAATGTTTTTTACCCCCACCTAATTGAAAATAATATTAAGCTTCCAGTTATTCTTTTTGTAGATGGGCACAAGAGTCACTTAAGTTACCAATCACATCTCCCGTTAAAAATACTGAAATAAAAACATCAGAACAAAGTGGTATTGAAAATGTAAATATTTCTGAGTGTAGTAATACCAATGATATCCATATTCAACAATATAAAACTAATGTTTATGACTTACCCTCTACAAGTAAAATTATTGTTAAACACGAATTGTTGGGTAATTTTTTAACTTCTCCTACTGTACCGGAAAGAAAAAATAAACGTAACACGGAACGACTTTTTTTGCTATTACATCTGCACGATATCAAGAAATGTTACGAAAAAAGGAGGAGTTAAAAGAAGAGCAGGAAAAACAAAAACAAGAAAGGAAACGGAAAAGAGAAGAAAAATTAACCAAAAACCAGTGTAGCAAAAAAAATAATTCAAAAAAAGTCAAATGTTCTATTTGTTCAAATGATATTCAATCGAATAAATTAAAATGCAATGACTGTAGTCTTTATTATCACGAATGTTGTATTCCTGTTAAGCATAGACAGCATATACCTAACGATGGTGATCTATTTATATGTCACAACTGCTTCAATCTGCAGGATAGTGATTCCGATGCTAATAACAGTAACCAAGACAGTGAAGATGAAGACATTGACGAACTTTTCACTCAATACAAAGAAACACAGAAGCAATTATAAAATTTAATTGTGTCAACTGTATATAGGTACCCCATACCGCACAGAAATCTTTGGTTTTCTTGTAATTTTCATTTGTTTCTAGTTTTTTTATTGTGTTAAAGCAGTTGTCCAATAACTAATTTTGAGTGTCCTGTAACTGAATAAACTGTCCAATAACTATAACTTTTGTAACTATTTTTAATAAATATATATTGACAAAAAAGATTTAACACTTTCTTTAAATCCTTTTAGCCATATTTTAATAAACCTATTAGACTACGTTTTGTATAAATTTCAATTCAATCTGCAGAGAACAATGTGAAATACGAATTTTTAAAGTTGAAATTTTCTTAAGTGTCCAATAACTGTATGGTTTACCCTACCAACATTTTATTTGCTTTCTCATATTTTAAACCATCTAACTTTAGGGGTATAAACTTTATCAGAAGAACAACCAGATTTCATGCTCTGCCTATTTTTCCTACTTGTTGTATAAAGGAGCTATGCAAATTTTTAAATTTTATTATTACATGTATTTCTGTAAAACCAACAAGTTTCATTGCAGTAGCAATTTTGTTTGTTGCAGATGCAGTAGATATTTTTTATAATCCTCTCTGGTCAAATCCTACAAAACAGTCCTATACGCATAATCAAGATACCAGAAATAAATTTATCTTTATATGATATACTCGTATAGTGAAATATGTACGAGAACATACTACACTAATTATCAAGTCTAAGGTCTCTTCATTCGTCCGTAGTAGATGGCAAGCTATCTCTTTAGTTTTTGAAGGAAGTTGTTCTAACCGCAATGGCTAGTCAGTTTGTCTTCAAGAATTCTTCTTCTTCTTCCGATTTTTATGTAGACATGACTATCTTCCTACTAATCGTCTTCTACTTTTTACTACTCTATTTATTGTCATTCGGCTTATATGATCGTTCCATTCTACTCTTTTATTTCTTATCCAGTTCTTGATGTTCTCTCCCCCTGATCTGTTCAAGACTTACTTGTATAAATCTATTTCTAGTCATTCTTTTTACATGGTCGCACTAGACACGACGTTGTTGTCTCTTCTATCTAAGTAATGCCGCCAGAATGTCATTCAATTAAACTCTGTTTAGTAATTCGCTTTGTTCGAAATATTCAAGTATATCAAGAGAGTCACACACGCAAGCATAATGAAGCGGTGAATTTCCCTTTATGTTAACAGCCGTATATTGTAATTAATATTTTTCTATGACTGTTTTAAGTAAACTAAGAAAACCTGCTAGTGCCACCCTGTGAATAAATGTATCTTGATCTTTATCTTCAATGCTTGAATGCAATAAATGATTTATTAAATAATCAATCAAATCCAGAATAACATCATATTCTACCTTAGGTCGAATACCGTTTTGCAGATCTCTCCGTATAAGTTTCAAGTACTCCTCAAAAACCGTATTTGTTTTAGAATACTCCGGTAATTTCATTTTTTCAAAGATCATATTAAAATATATTTTGTATTTGTCTGAGTCAAAGAACATCATGATGTCATGAAATACGCCAAGTCCATTCTCATCATCGCTGTTTATTTCAGCATCAGAAGAACCCCTATGATTAATAATTTTATAAAAATCATCGTATTCGTGAAATACCAATTTGAAAATACTAAAATGGCCTTGAAATACTAAAAGTGATATACTTTCTACCCATCTTTGTTCATTCAGTACTCGACCAAACTGTTTACTAATCTTACTGACACATATATCTCCGACTGATATTTTGGTATTCAGAATTTCTTCAAAGAATCCAGAGACACCAGTATACTGAACATTAAGAAAAAGTTTGTTAAGAAGAGTTAAGAGTATAGAGTCGCTTATACGTTTATGACTGAGAAATTTCCAAATATATTCGGCAACGAAGTATTCTTCGAAACTTTTGTGAATGAATTTAAATTCTCCATTATTTTCTTCAAATATCCCGATTGAAAGCATCGATGTAGTTATAGAAGGGGATATATCAGTATTGAAACATTCTTGTAATTCTAGCGGAAGGCTCTTACTAGCAGCAAACTCTCTTGTTTTTGTTAAATATGTATCAAATGCATCTGATACAACAATGGTATTTTTGCCACAACGGTCATCTTTATGTTGTTGAACAAACGTTTTTTTCTTCTCTTCTAAAAAAAGATTATAAAATTCATACACACTTAACGATTTAGAAAATATTTTCGATATATGTTCTACAAGGTCCTCGTTATTTAGTAATATGTCGATTAATAATCTTAACGCAAATGGTGTTAAACAAAATTTGTTAATTCCAGGTGATTGTGCTTTTAAATGGCAAAACATATCTTTTGTTTTTTGTACGCTAGTTGCATTCTTAAATGTTACATACTTTTCAAAAAAAATCTCTTGATCTTTTTCATTAAACGGTTCTATCACAATTGTCTCCAGGTTTGGCCTATTTCGAATTTTCTTTAAGATAAAATCATAATCCCTACAAGCCATTATAACTAATAAGATATTCAGATTCTCCAAGTTTGAGCAATCTTCAAGCAAATCTTGCACTTGATGAATGTACTCTGAATTATTTTCGTCTATTCCATCGATTACTACAATCTTCTCTATAGATTTTAAAGCCTGAATGTCGAAATTACCTCTAGTATCTTCACAATAGATTAACAAATCTAAAAGATTGTGATTAAAACTTTTATTACGTAGATACTCTACCGCTCTTGATAATTCTATATTTATTATCCACGTCAGTCGGGAACAATTCTTATCTTTTAACTTTCTCGATAATATTATATTTTCTAAAAGAGTTGTTTTGCCAGCACCTGGGGGGCCAGTAAGTACAGCTACCTTTTTATTAATTGTTTTTAATTGATCAAGTAGAAGTTCTTCAGAAAATAAATTCTGAAAATCCCTACTTAAAAGTCGAGGAACATAATATTTTTCTGATGTTATTGACGGTATTGAAGATTTTCCTAAAGACAAACGTTCCTCTTTAATTAATTGCAAAATAAATAATTCGTCAATCAGATATTCTATCTTACAAATTGTTACTATATCATCTAGTATAATCTGCCGACCTCCGAATTCTAAAATTGTTTGACTTTCCAAGTCTGAGTCATCATACGATAACTTATTTTTTATAGATTCTACTAGTTCTTTGTACGAATCTCCATTTAAATCAAATGATTCTCCTTTAGATTTTACTAAGGAACAAATATAAGACTTATCCATTATATCTAAGAACTTACAACCATTCATTAAATTGAACACCTTACAATTATTTAACACATGTTTTAATGTTATAGCTTCACCTTGAAATTCAATAATCCTGTTACAAACTCGTTCTCGTGTGTTTTTATCGAATAGATTTAAGCGGACTTGATCGTTTTCGATATTTTTATCTTGAAATCCGAAATTTTTTGCCACAATAATAACCTTCTTTTGTTTACTAGTGTCTAATATTCTTAATATTTTTTTAAATATTTCTTTACTTTGATTCTCGTCCATTTCCAAAAAGGAAACAACTAAATATTTAACGGTTTTTATTTTAAACCATTCCACAGCATTTTCAATCGTTTTGTAATCTGTCTGTAATGCCAGAAATAGTACTTCTTTGAAGAACATTTCATCGGGTTTGTCTAGTTTTTTATAAATCAATTTTATACTGTTAACTATTTTGGATAAAAATAAATCCAAATTGTCTTCAACTTTGATTAAATTAATAGAATGTAAAAATTGATAGGGATTTGAAAAAGAGATTTCGTAATTTAAAAACTGTTGAATACATCTATCATTTTCCTCTCTATCCCTTACAAACCCTGTACTCACAATCGTGAGTGTCATAACAAACTACTAAATAAAGGTCAAAATAATTTATGACTTGGTTTAGACCCGAATCGTTCGATTGTGTTATACCGCCTACCTACGTTTTTGTGCGAAAGTGGTTTTAGTTTGCAAATGCGACGAAGAATTCGTTTCTCAAAGTAGTGTTTTATTTGTTGACATGGCGTCAAAACGTAAGTATTTATTTTGTTTATTTTTCAATGTGTATTTTTAGCGTTGATATGGCGATCATATTGTAAAATGGTTATTAATTACAGTGTTTTAAAAAAATTAATAACAAGTTTGAGATCTGGTGATACAGAACCGTATTTAGATAAATGTCATAATTGTGACCTTTGGGTCTCAATGACTACGTAGCTTACCTAAATATGTGTAAATAAATTAAATCTTTTTGTTACAGTTTCAAGTTCCAAAATTAACTTGGACGACATACGAACCAATCCAGATAAAATCTACGACCTTTTGGATGATGTTGGTTCCTATTTTGAGTTCGAAAATAAAGACGACGATGAGTGGCAGCCTATACTTGAACCTACATGTCCTACTTATGAATCAGAAAATAGTGACTCTGATGATGATAACTCGATAAATGAAAATGTTGCTTCCACAAGTAATGCTTCAAATCCAATGGTAAAGAAGCATGAAAATAAAAACAACAAATGTCATAAAAGAGAGCAAAGTTTTACGTGGGAGAAAAGACCATTTCCTCAAGTAGATGTTTCAAATGAAGTAGTTGGAGATATTGGAGAAATATTATCGCCATTTCAATATTTTGATAAATATTTACCGCAAGAATTTTTTGATTTGGCCGCAGTACGTACAAATCAATACTACGTACACAAAAATGGTAATCTACTAAAACCGCATGTAACTTCTGAAGAAATTAAAAAGTTTTTTGGAATGCATGCAATTTTGGGATGCATTAAATATCCACGAATAAGTATGTACTGGCAATCAAATTTTAGACTTCCTGTTGTAGCTGATACGATGTCAAGAAACCGTTTTTTTACACTCTGCACAAACTTCCATGTTGAAGATGAAAACCGGGTCTCCAACGAAAACAAAAAAAATAATAAATTGTGGAAAGTTCAACCTATGATAGATTTTATTAGAAAAAGATGTAGAGAAATTGAAAGACCAACGGGAAATTATTCAATCGATGAACAAATGATACCATTTTTAGGCAGATGTGAACTGAAGCACTACGTCAAAAACAAACCTAGGCCCGTGGGTTTGAAAAATTTTGTAATGACTACTTCGACAGGTATTGTGACAGACTTCGAAATATATCAAGACAACACATCTGCGTTCGCAAAATTCAAGAATTGTGGCCTAGGCTCCTCTGTCATATTATATTTCGCAAATACTTTACTGAAAGGAAGTCATATATTTTTGATAGATATTTCAATTCTGTAACATTAATGGAGGAATTAAATAAAATTGGTGTGTATGGAACGGGTACCGTTATGATTAACAGATTACAAGCACCAGCAGCCTTCAAAAATGACAAAGAAATGCCAAGAGGAGAATCAGAACAGTTTACTAGATGTGATAGTCTAATGTGTCTTGTTAAGTAGAAAGACAATAAAGGTGTCCTGATGTTGTCTAATGCACTTAGTGTCGAGCCAGAAGCCGTAGTAAAAAGATGGTGTAAATCTGAGAAACGTTTTGTCGAAGTTTCATGCCCTAATATTGTTAAAACATACAATCAGAGTATGGGTGGGGTCGATACATGCGACCAAATGATGGAATTATATAGAACATATTTCAAAACTCGTAAGTGGCCATTCAAAGTAATTCTACACTTATTCGATTTGGCGATAGTAAACAGTTGGATGGAGTATATTAGGGACTGTAGGGCTAATGGTTATCGCAGGAAAGATATAATGGATTTTCTGTCATTCAGGATAGCTTTGGGAGAGTTTCTGATTGGAGGTTTGAGACCTAAAAGAAGTAATAACACAGAAGGTGCAGGGAGCGAAGATGGAGAAAATGAAGACAGATTGGAAAATCCGCAAAAGAAACTGAAACGATTTCCGGTTAAATTACCTGAACAAGATAAACGTTACGATGGTTATGAGCACTGGCCTCTGAATGATGATTTACAAAATCCGCTTTCTTGTCGGTTGGAAGCTTGTCAAAGCCGTTCACGCATACGTTGTAGTAAATGTAATATTTATTTATGTTTAAGTAAAAACAAAAATTGTTTCAAAGCATTTCATACGCGATAGTTTTAAGTAATATATGTTTACATTATGTATTAATATAGTTATATTTATTATAATATAGCTATATTTAAGTTGTTCAATATAGCTGCTGTCAATATTTTTGAATAAAATATTTTAATATCGTCTTTATTTCTTTATTTTACTCAGAAGTTTTTAAGTCCCAGAGTATACAATTGTGACTATCTCACAATTGTGAGGCTGTTTTGTATGAAACCAAGGCACACAATTGTGAGGGTCTTTAAAAACGTCCTGAGGGTCCTTAAAAAATTCTGAAAAAAATCGAATGTCATTTACAACCCAAATACAGTAAAAACAAGACATTGGTATCCTTCTGCAAAACCTTATCTTGTCATGGGTCTGTAAGGGCTATACCAAACAAATCTCATATAATTGTTCGTCATGTAAACAGAATTTTTAGAGCCCAAGTTGCGCCAGTAGTGAATATCATTTATTATGTACAACTTTTTTAACGAAGGGTTTTTTTTCTCCATGCTCGTAATGAGATCAGAAATCCGTTTATCAATTTGTTCTTTACTTACTTTGATGACTAGAAATTTGGACATAAACTCTTCAATATCATTATCGTTTAGAGATATATTTCGCCATGCAAGTTTGTCTTTATCGTCGTCGCTAATATTTTGTTGATAAGTTTTAACTTCGTCAAATTTTTTGCGATGTTCTTCTTTAATAGTACTTATTGTTACTTGATTTCCAAATATTTTATTTATTATATTATTTTCAGAAGTCCTTTGAGAATTAAATATGCTATCTGGTAAATTGGCATTGGTACATAGTATTATAGCATTCGTCTTGAGCTCATTAAACTTCCATTTTATATCAATATATGATAGAATATACTTATAAATACTAAAATTATCAGATTTTGGCTTAGTTGACCAGAAGTCTCGATCAGAGACTTGTTTGTTTTCCTTAAATTTTGCCTGTAGTAACAAGCACTCATTATCAACTTTAAATACCAAATCATCGAATTTTCCAGCGTCGATATATTCATTTGCCAAGCTCCAGTTGACAAAATATTTGAATGCAGCTACTGCAAATAGGCAATGAAGTTTCCATTCATAGTCAGTACCTAGATTTGCAACTGGGCCTTTAGGATATTCTCCCACCGCTTTTTGTGTTGGTACATTTCGAGTCAGCTTGGTCTGAAATATATAAAAGTATAAATGAAACACAAATTTGTAAAATTGGTACAAAAATATAATAAAAGAAAAACTTAATTTTAAGTATATTGTACCACAATATTGTACCGTTTTTAAATAAAAACAGCAGTACGAATTTATATAAATATATTTATTTATAAGTTTACAGTTCGGTACTCTCTTATCAACTAAACTAACTCATAACATCGTTACATTTATATCGTTACATATATAAAAAGTATTATTCTCGAATCTTCTGGGGTAGTCCTACCTCTAATTCGTTGTTTGGCGCTCATACATCGCGTATGTTCTCGAAGTCCGAGATTCTGTTTCGAGATGCAACCGTTACACGGGCCACGCTGAATGCATGTTCGTAATAATATAATAAGTAGGAAGAAAAAAATTAATGCAAAAAAAATCAAATATTATGAATATTTTTAAAAAGATTAAGTTAAGATTAAGTTTGGGTTCGAATTATAATTCAAAGATATTCGATTTAAATTTATACTACTAAATATTTATGGTTAATTTTAAGAATTTTGTCTGATATGTGACAATTCTACTTGAGGCACATAATTTAAAGTAACATCTCCGTTGGAATTTTTATACAAAGACGTATGTTAATTCAGCACCGAGTAAATTGTATTTAGTTTCACCGGTAAGCAGCAAAGAACTAAACATTCCGTATTTATGTATTTAGCACCTAGGTCATTTCTATTGGTCCTTTGGTGCGAAATTTATACGCAAAATGTTAAATATTCGCAGACAAAAAGACATCTTTTTATTAAAATCAGTTAAAAGTAGACTGATTTTCAAATATTTGTAATTTATGATTAAAGAAAACTAAAACAATGCAACATTTATGCGAAATTCAATGTCATCTGAAATGTTTAGTACTTAATGAAAGGATACATTGTGTAATGTAAACGTAGCAAGAAAATAAAGAATATAAAAAAATACGGGCTAGTAGCATAAAGGAAAATAATAATCATTTTAGTAATTATTATATATTCCAAATTAAATAAAGAATAAATTCGATACAGTAACGTATATATTTTAAATTATACAAAGAAAAATAATTTGACCCAGTTAGTTGCAGGACACGAGCCAATATCAGTTGCAACAATTGTTCAAAAAGAAAATAGTCACGTTTTAATAAACATAGACCTACTCTGGAAAATACACCCAGCACCGACCTGGTTTAAATCACGAGGACTCAGCAAAAACTCGACCTTGGCACTACAACCGGAATTTGAGAATAACCATTCATAAAAACCGAACGAAGTTGGCCAGAGCGTCAGTGGTATCTGGGCAGCCGTGACTACTCGAGACAGTAATTGCCAGCGGGGTCAGTGAGTATCTTTGGGCAGGGCTGTCAAGACGAGAAGTAACACCAGGTGCAAATTACGCGCGGTTGTTATATTTCAACGGGATATAGTTCCGTATAAGTGTCGGGTACTGGGAGTTCGAAAATCGCGACAGAGCGCGGTACCTCCACAACTGAATTCGATTTCCAGAGGAACTGAAGGGCGTATCATTAGCTAGAGCCTAAATACGCGAAAGGTAACAAAATTCTATATACTAACCCGAGTAAATTATAGTAGTACAGAAACCTTTACTTTCGTGCTAAGATCACTTGTCATCTCCCTACGCGCCGAACGAGTTTACTCGACAGCTTGTTAACTTAATTGTAACCCACATAGTATATTCAATACATTTGTAGACTCTAAATTTGGTTTTTATGTTCCTTCCGGCCGATTCAGACACGAGACCAGAAGAATTTCTTTACAGGACCTGAGACCTAAAAGTCCTTAACCCCTATCCCGGAAAGTCCCTACCTTCTCGTAAAGCCACGAGGGCGAACCAGCCAGTTCAGACTATTGGGACCAGTAAGCCTTGCAGCCGCTCGCAGGGATAAGCATTCTTAAGGTTCATATCGAGGATATTCCAGTGGTGAAAGCGTTGTACAGTGGTCAAGATTTCCTCACCCTCTAGCTCAGATTTACAATAGGTTATACCCCCCCCCCTCGACTTATACAATTGCTATTTAAAAAAATTAAACTCCTTTTCGTTACTCATTTGTTTTTTGTAATAAAAGCTTTTATATTTTTTTTGTATACAGTCGTTATTTACCCAGATATATACTATATTCCATACATAATGGAAAATAATCATAACATATCTATTAAAGGACGGTTTGTCAGGAATTGTAAGTATATTTGGCGAGCATAATCATAATTTGAAATCATATCAAAGCCTTTCATACTTTCGTCCATCCGCTGATACAAAATAAAAACATTTTTCTTATTTTGGTAATGGAATGAGAATTAAAGAGTCTCTAGTTTTTCATGAGTGCAAAATAGAATTTGAAATTGGATTTGACAGTAAACTTGTAGCAAATTCAGAAATTAATCCAAAATATCTTACAGTACAGCATTGGCACAATATATGGGGAACTCAAAGTTTAGGACCTCGCGATTTAACTGGACTTTTGAAGGTAATGAGAAGTAACATTTTTTTATATTATTAAAATATTAATTATTTTTACTTCTTTTACCTCCGTGCTGATAAGCTCATGGTCGTGTTTACGATTAGAAAATTTTATTGCACTCTACCGACTACCAAAATATCACGGAATTTAATTGAGTACAAAAAGTTTTTAATACTTTCCTGAGTATAAAAGGGACTGGCGGGTTCTTTTGCATAAATTCGGTAATTATCGTCGGTACATAGTTATCGTGCGATAACCTAATCCAAGGGAATTTATATTTTATCACGATTCTAGCTAGAAGGGTACCGTTGTGTTCGATATTCATTAGAGCTTTTTACCTTCTTGGAAATTGATACTGTCCCATAATTTTCAAGTGAGAGATACCCTCACCCTTTTGTGGGTAGATTGGTATATTTTGGTAGAAGACAGACTTACTTCTGATTGGGACGTTGTTGAGAAAAGACTTGCTTCTCGTGAGACGCTCCGCTCATAGTATTATCTCTGTTATCGTACCGTTCTTTGTGCATTTTGCTTTCTAAGTGTGTATAGCCTTGTATATTTGCGTTTTTTTGATCTTATACTATATTAGTTTAAATACAGTTATAAAGTACCTTTAATGTTAATTAACTTTAGTGTGGGATACAAGTAAAGCATTAGAGTATAGTAGATAGCTTCAGTGAATTAGTGCAGCAGTTATCAAGATTTCCTGTAAGTAATTATCTGGGCGAATAATATGGTATAGCGAATAATATGGAGTAACTACTGAATTTTGCATTCAATTTAAAGAACATTCAATATTTTCTTACGAACTTTCCATCAGCTACTAAGAAATTTCAATAAATAATAATTATGAACATTTAGTTTTCACTCATTAAATAACAGTGCGAGCTAGGTAATTATCTACGACTAAGTGCGGGTTGGTTAAGTTTTTATTTCTGTAACCTTTTTTTATTCTTGTAAATTTAGATTTGCTTAATTTTTGGTATTTGCTATAATTGTTATACATTTTTAACCTAATATCTCGAGTTATGCCCATTAGACAGCAAAGATAGCCTTTCTTTAATCAACTTTGGTTGAATTTTTTTTCTTACTCAGCATTAGACTCTCTTCGCTCCTTCGCCGACAAAAAAAGTTTTCGAGGTTACAGAGAGTCTCGGTAAAAATCTCTGAAATGACTGACCTTTTCGGTTTTTTTTTTGGAAATTGAAACAAACAATTGAGGTTTATGAAGCAAGGAATTTTAGTAAAATGTAATGAAAATCCGTTTGCCGTCATTGTTGTAACACCTAGTATGCAACGAGCACACAATATTTGCAAAAGATTCTATTTTTACAGATACCACAGTTTCTTGCGATGCATTAAACCATAAGGTTTCGTTTATGTTAACCCCCTGTAGAATACGAGCAGTTATTATTACCAAAAGTCAAACAATTGAAGATTATGCTGCAGCATACCCACAGCTCAAACGGTCGATAAATGCATTCGGTGGAATGGGTTATCCTAAAATATTTATTAAAGACTGACAAACAATAAGACATTTTACATTTACTTTTTATTTAAGATATTTCAAGCTATATTATTAGCACCGACTATAGAGAACGCCACAGTTATTTAACCCGGCGCCAGTGTGGTGGGGTATAACATACCCCAGTGATTTTAAAATTAGCGCCAATATTTTTATCGGTAAATTAGCGTGACAGGCATTTCAGTACTTTTCGTTAAAACCTTGAAGGAGGTCCTGCAGTTGTTGATTTACTTTAGAAGTGAACTCACACATCGCTGTTTTGATTCAAACGTCGTTGGGGTATCACATACCCCACCACACAGGTAACTTAATATATTTATGGTAGTAATATATGAGTTGGGCATTCACATTTTTATATAATTTCCGTTGAAATTATTTATTTTTAATGAAAATGTAAAATTTTATACATAAATTATTTATGTTTTTGTTCTAGATTATGGCTTATCGATATGAACGGGAGCAGGCGAGGCTTCAAGCTTTATGGGACGATTCTCAAGACGATGATGTAATAATTGGATCTGCAAGCGAGAACGAATCCGACAATGAAGACAACAGTAGCCACAACTCTGACAGCGAGGAAGATGCTATTGATTTAGAACAGTCGGTGGCTGATACAGAAATCGAAAATAAACTTTTGGGGCAAGGACAGGAGAGTGAAAAGAAACATTATGTAGGTAAGGACGGCACTAAATGGTCTTCAACATGCTTTCCTATAAATGTAAGAACACGTTCAGTAAATATCATTACGCATTTACCAGGTGTAAAACAAAATGCAAAAATGGCGAAAACTCCCTTAGAATGCTTTAATTTACTTTTTACACCTAGTATGACGGATGATATCGTAAGGTATACTAATATAAAAATAAGAAGGAAGGCCTCTTGCTACGATGAAAACCATCAGTATACAGTTCGCGAAACCAATGTAACTGAAATAAGAACATTGTTTGGACTCTTGTACTTGGCTGGGATGTTCAAGTCTGCTCGGCT